GCCCTTCTGCTCAATGATTGGGCTACTGTGCCGAACCACATGATTGCATAAGGCTAGTCTAATAAACATTTGGATGTTTGTCTTGCTGGGATCCTAGGAGCCCTGCTGACTTCCTGCCCCTGGGGCAGGGGGCTGGACTCAAAGATCTTCCGAGGTCCCTTCCAGCCCTGATGTCTATGAAATCTATGAAATATGCATACTCACCATGAACTGTACCTTCCTCTTCCAGTCATCGCACTGAAAAGGGATCCAGCGGTTGAAGAACAAGTAAAAAAATAGTATGGGTTTGGCTTCCATCAAAGTGAGATGAAATCAGTTGGACAGAAATCAAACCCATGCTATTTTTTTATTCTGGGAACAGACCTGACTTTCACCTCAATGTTCTTGTTGATAAACAATGAAGGTTTCAGTGATTGCAACTCGGCGTTGTCATCATTGCTTCTGCGTCTTGGACTATCATTAGTCCAAGCCTGAGATCATTTGGGTTATTTGGTTGTTCCATATCCAGCTCAAATGCTTTACTTTTTTTATGAGATCTACAGAAATGTGCTTTCATAGCCACATGTTGTTTGATTTTATTTTTTAAATTTTTTTTTGAATCTCCTAACTGTTGATGCCGTGGGGATTGGAGCGGCACAGGATTGTGATAAGTGTTTTAGAGCATTAGGGAATCATGAGCTCTGGTTGGCTCAGAGGGAATCTATTATTTACAATCTACTGTATCAAATTCAGCTTGCACCAAATTAGAAACTGATTTTTGCCGTCCTCCCTTTTTAATCTAACCCCTTGGTTAACTCTGAAGAAGCTGCTCCATAAATCACATGGACATCTATGGATTTTTTTTTCTCCCTGCCAGCCACTGCTAGGACTAAATGTTCATCTACCAGCGATTCTTATCAGGTAGAGCGCTAATAATAATAATTCTGTTCCAGGCTCGACTCTCCCTGTGCCAGAAGGAAGGCTATCTTTGTAATCTACCTTGCAACATGTTTTCAAGATATAAAATAGCAATGTGCATGCACATCTTGACTTTAAACGCTTAGGTTTTTAATTAAGAGAAGTCGGGGTAGTGAGTATAAAATGCTCCAAACTTTGGTTGTGGTTTGTAGGTTATCACCTGTCCACATTTTTTGAAGGAAGCAAATAGTAATACCTACTCCTTTTCATTACCGATTCTTAGAGCACTTACAATGGAGACCATTGGTATTGTTTTCATTGTGTAGATGAGGAAACTGAGGCACAGAGTGGGGAAGTGTCCCATCCAGGGTCAGGCATGTGTATTATATCAGCTGTGGAGCTGGCAGAGGCGCAGGGCTGGAAGGGCCTTTGGGAGGCCATCTAGCTGAACCTCACGTTCAAGACAGGATCGTCCCTGTTTGAACCATCTTGGACAAGCATTAGTCTTAGACACTTCCAGCGATGGAGACTCCACAACCTATCTAGGGAATCTGTCCCAGTGCTTCATCTTTCTCTGTTGACCCACTCTTTAGAGTGAATTGAAAGCTGAGACTCTAACCCAAGTCTCCTGAGTCTTAGTGTAGCGCTTACTTTTTTAGGCCACTCAGAATCAGCATTATTGTTGACTGATCGATGGGTAACATTAGTAGACCAATGTACTCCTCTTTGAGTCTCTTAGAGCTACAGTGATTAGCTGTTTAGCTGAAACTGTAATGACTTATGCCTTCCTTCAGCCAACCAGAGATTCCTAGTTCAATACCTAGCATCAGCCAAGATGGTGGCACTTCCATGAGCAGAGACAGAATCAAAGGCACGTGTCACAGCTGCTGGGTGCACGTGCTTTTGGCAACCAGAGTACTTAATAGTAATTATAGTGCCTAGAGTATGCACTTCACTCA